GTGTAATGTTATGTTAAGCAGCAATTCCATCGCCTGATGGGAAGAGAAGCATGATGAAACTGGCACGAAGGATGGTGAGCAATTTCTGTGCTAGCGTGAATCCATCGAATGGACACCAATGGAACACAATTTCCGGTTTGAATGAGTTTGAAGTCAGAGCCACACTCCAAAAGTGCACTGACCCCGGCCAGCCCAATGGCGTAGTCATTAGTGCAGCTGCCACAATTTGGCTACCAATTCCTCCACAACATGTCTTCAATTTCTTCAGAGACGAACGAACTCGACCTCAGGTCTGTGCAAATTGACTATATGCTTCTAGATTCATTTGACTTTGTGCCTAGTGGGGAAATGTAGAAAAGTTTCCCTTGACTTTCTGTTCTCTGTTTACTATTATCCTAACCAAATGTAAACTGGGACTACTTGGTACATGTAATTATACGTCTTTTTAGTCAATATGAAGCGCGTTCTTAATTTGAGAAATTCGTTTGTTTATGTTTACAGTGGGATGTTCTTTCAAACCAAAATCCAGTGCAAGAGGTAGCTCATATAGCAAATGGCTCTCATTCAGGGAACTGCATTTCCGTGCTACGGGTAAATTGATGAAAAGCCATACTAAAAATATATTAATCTTTACTTTATCCTTAAAATTACATTTGATTCTGAGGAAACTGTTACATGTTTTTAGGCCTATAACACTAGTCAAAACAACATGCTGATACTCCAAGAAAGCTGCATAGACTCATCAGGGGCATTAGTAGTGTATAGTCCAGTAGATATACCAGCCATCAACATAGCGATGAGCGGTGAGGACCCCACGTATATCCCATTACTACCCTCGGGGTTCACAATATCGCCAGATGGGAGACAACTAGACGCAGATGCAGCATCATGTAGCAGCAGCTCAAATGCAAGTACTATAGGAGGAGGCAGGTCAGGAGGTTCACTTATAACAGTAGTGTTCCAAATTTTAGTTAGCAGTTTGCCATCAGCAAAAATGAGTCCAGAATCAGTGAACACTGTGAATAATCTCATTGGCAGCACTGTTCACCAAATTAAATCTGCCTTGAATTGCTCCACTTCCTGATCCTATTTTTTTGAAATCTCATCAGTTCAGCATTTAAATTACCTCTCTGCTTCTGTTTAGAAGTAGTTGGGAATTTTCAATGCTTCTTTCATTACCTCTGCCACTGCTCACTCTACTGATTCTGTCACAGCTTTATGACATTTCACAACTCATAGTCTTTTTTTATTTTAATTTATTTTGGGGGGCGGGGGGGGGGGGGGTTT